CAGTTTTTTATTCACAAAGGATGACTGAAATGTCTTGAAATACTTAGTATTGAGCCCAAGGATATAGAGTTTCCAGTTAAATTTTCAACACTTTGTAAATAACAGCATATATGATGGTGAGCAGGGCTGGATTGGTAATCGGGCATACCGTGCATTTTCCCGGTGAGCCGACGCACTTAAGGGGCCGACAGAATGTTTTTTTTTTTTGCCGAAACCATCACGCAGGGACAGCGAGCAGCCAGTGGCCCATTGGATTGTCTCCTGTATAGACAGCGTAAACATCCAATCACAATGCACTATAGACGGAGCGATGAAGTATTTTGCTCTGCCTATATAAAGATCGCCCTCGTCGGCTTTTTTCCCACGTTTTCACAGCAGATCTATCAAGAACAGGCTTGCTCTGCGGTGCGTGATGCTGGCCAAAGAGCAAGGCAGGAGGAGGAGAGGAGAGTAGTTGAACTGGTAAAGTGCTTGATCGGGACTCGCAACGGAGGCAGACATCTAACCTATCCTAATGTGTGTGCGCGGCTGCGCGCCATGAGTGTATGCGTAAACACTTTTTGATAAAAAGTAAATTCGTCCCCCGCGATTTTTTTGTCAAGTCAAGTGTGTTCATAGAGGTTTCAATGGGGCAATGCGAATAAAGCTAGATTTAAATAAAAAAAAAAATACACGTGTCAGCGGGAAAGCCACGCCCCCAGCTATCACAAGACCCGAGCAAGTCCATGGTTGACACCCTCTCATTAGCATGTTGTGCAGAAGAAAAATAAATGCGAAACTACATTCAGAAATAAATGAGTGATTAAAAGAAAACAGTTAGGATGAGTTTAGTATTTCCTTAAACATTTTCCATTTGGCCCGTTTAATTATTTATATACATATTTAAACAAGAATACGTGTATTTATACACACATTTATTTATTTATTTATTTGTGTATTTATTTATTTAAACACCCATTTATTTATTTATTTATGTATTTATTTATTTTTAATTTCTGCAGGTTTGGTCCTCCATACATACATACATACACTACCAGTCAAAATGTTTTGAACAGTAAGAAAGATCCAATAGAAAGATCCAAAGATCAGCATCCATATGAGATAAAAAAGCTTTTGTAACATTATACATATAATATTCAAAAGCTTAAAATCAGTATTTTTATTTTATTTTAATTTTTTGGGGAAATTATAGAAATTAATAATTTTATTTAGCAAGGATGCTTTAAATTGATCAAAAGTGACGGTAAAGACATTTATAATGTTACAAAAAAAATAATATTTCAGATAAATGCTGTTCTTCTGAACTTTCTATTAATCAAAACATGAAAAATTCAACTCGGCTGTTTTCAACAATATAATAGTAATAATAACAAATGTTTTTTGAGCAGCAAATCAGAATATTTGAATGATTTCTGAAGGATCATGTGACTGGAGTAATGATGCTAAAAATTCAGCTTTGAAATCACAGGAATAAATTACATTTAAAAATATATTCACATAGAAACAGTTATTTTAAATAGTAAAAATATTTCACTATATTAATGCTTTTGCTGTACTTTGGATCAAATAAATGCAGGCTTGGTGAGCAGAAGAGAATTCTTTAAAAAACATTAAAAATCTTACTGTTCAAAAACTTTTGACCGGTATAGTGTATATATATATATATATATGTCGAAGTGGTGATGGGCCGCCTGAACCAAAAAATGCCAGGGCCGTTTTTTTTGTCCCAGTCCAGCCCTGATGGTGAGGGCATGAATTTGGAAATAGAAATAAGATTGCTTCTACTGAAAATAGGGAAAAAACATTAAAAATCTTACTGTTCAAAAACTTTTGACCGGTATAGTGTATATATATATATATATCGAAGTGGTGATGGGCCGCCTGAACCAAAAAATGCCAGGGCCGTTTTTTTGTCCCAGTCCAGCCCTGATGGTGAGGGCATGAATTTGGAAATAGAAATAAGATTGCTTCTACTGAAAATAGGAACAATGTTGTAACCATAGTGATCAGAATATGAATCAGCGGTGCAATGCGAGAAACATGAATTGTGTCCCAAATGACGTACTATATATGATGCATATGATGTCTTTCAAACTTGGTTCCGGGCACCCCCAGGGGGTCTCAAGTAGTACTAGGGGGTCCGTGGAAAACTTAAGAAAAAAAACAGTGTTAAAACTGAATCTAAATTAACTTAAACGAACTTAAACTAAAACTAAATAAATACATTTGATTAAAATTTAAAAATGCTTAAAAATAAAAAAAAATAAATGGTCACACTTTAGTTTGGGGACCAATTTTCACTATTAACTATTAACAAAAAAAGATTTGCCTCAGTAAACTCCTAATTTGCTGCTTATTAATAGTTAGTAAGTTAGTTAAGTTTAGGTATGGGGTAGGATTAAGGGATCAGAAATATGGTCATGCAGAATAAGTCATTAATATGTGCTTTATAAGTACTAATAAACAGCCAATATGCTAATAATAATACTGAGAATTGGTCCCTAAAGTGGTACGAAAAATAGATTTCAAATAAACAAAATAAATAAATGTATAGTACTACACTGCATAGACACTAAATAATGAAATGTAATTTTAAAACAAATGTGTGTGTGTATATATATATATATATATATATTCCAAGTAATATACTTTATACATATAAATACATAGCTTTTAAATTTCAGGATGGGGTCCTCGCATGAGGATGATATTATTTGGGGGTCCGTGGCATCTAAAAGATTGAAAAACCTTGGTCTAGTGTAGTTATTTGATAAGGTTATTTTGTCATCCAGCATTGGAGTGTGATAGACCCTTCCATTCCACACTTTGGTTTATCAGTTAAATAATAACTGAATTATTCAGGTATTTGAAGTTTATCTTTTTATAACACTACTTAGACTGTTTATTCTACAAAATGTCATACGTATACAGCATTAGTTACCCAGACGATCAGCTGACAGTGCTGCCATAATGACAGAGAGCATTAAGACATTTCTGACTGCTGAGTGCTGCGACTGACCACTCAGAATCAAGAATTCTGGAGCAATACAATCTTCTGTTGTTGTATCCTGAGTGAGAGAATTGGAGACAGTTTAATGTTTTGTTTTTTTCCCCAAAAATTACATCAACTCTGTATTTCCTTTGCTTAGAAAAAGTAACGCCGATCAAGTGCTTTAAATGATTAGATAGTATTAATTTGCGTTTCATGATTGCTGCCTTATCACAAACAAGGCTAGACATCGAAATGAATATATTTTATTAAAAC